GTAAAATATAAAAATTGTGAAATTATAAAAATCAAATTGATAAAAAAAAAGTTAAAAAAAACTACTCTATTTTATTATATTATTTTATTATTTTATTATAATATTAGTAATTAACATTTATATATAGTAAAATAATTATTTTAAGTCTAATTAAATCAAATTAAAAAAAAAATGGTATCACATGTATGAAAAAATATGGCATCATTGCCTGGAATTTTAAGGAAATGATAACATATACTAGGCAATGATATCATTTCCTTCCGCTACTAGGAATTGTCATCATTTCCTGGGAATTGTCATCCTTTCCTAAATGTCAACATTTCCGGTAACATATACACTTATAATTTGGTATTGCGCAATTGTCGCGTCCCCCTAATTTCGAATCATGAAATTGTTTTAATATATCTAATTTTTCTTCTTCCGTATATTCGACTTCGCCTGTGCATATTAATATATGTATATCGGTTTGTCGAAATACGTATCGTATCATTGACCTAGTTGTTTCCCATTCTAGGTTATCTGCCTGACCTAATTTATTCATTGCTAATTTTTTGATATCATTTTCCTCACAAAACTGTTTCAAGTTCACTAATGTCACATGTATATTTTCATGCGTGGTTAATTGTTTATCTCTATTTTTAGTTACTAGGAACATTATATATCTATCTTCGTTTTTAAAATATTTAATATCGCCTATCATTTTACTCGGTGGCAATAATTGATTATTACTAAATTTTTCTTTTAATATTTTATTAATTCCTTTCTTAAAATTATATTTTTTAGCTATTTCCGACACTAAATTATACTCTACTGGTACGTTTATTAAGTCTCCTATTGTTTCATGTACTTTTCTATTTATAATTAATTGCGTTTTCATTTTATTAATAAAATTGGAATAATTGTCATCTGTAATTTCTGAAATTTTATACATTCGGCTTAATGCATCTACATTTGAATTTTGTACACCCGGTTTATATCTAATCTCATAATCGTATTCTTCTAGTTGTATCCGCCAACGCGCTAATTTAGATAATGGATCTTTTAAATTAAATAACCATGTTAATGGTCTATGATCACTCAAAATAATAAACTTCCTCCCGTACAAATAAGGTCGAAATTGTTTAACACCATATACTATTGCTAAACATTCTAATTCAGTGGTACTATAATTATTCTCACTTTTACTTAGAGTTCGCGACGCATAAGCTATCGGTAAATCTTTTCCTATTTCTCCTTGTGATAAAATTGCTCCTAATGCTTTATTACTTGCATCAGTTGTTAAAATAAATGGTTTTGAAAAATCTGGATATTTTAAAATTGGTTCTGAACATAATGATTTTTTAAGTGAATCGAAAGATTTTTGACAATCTTCGGTCCATTCAAATTTAGTATCCTTTTTTAGTAAGTTTGTTAATGGTTTTGCCTTTGCACTATAAGATTCTATGAATTTACGATAATAACCTGATAATCCTAAAAATGATTTTATCCCCTTAACATTAGTTGGTTCCGGAAAATTTAGAACTGCCTTAACCTTTCTTTCGTCTGGTTTAATTCCATGTTCTGATATTACATGACCTAAGTATACGCATTCTCGTGTTAAAAATTCGCATTTATCCGGTTGTATTTTTAAATTATGTTCTCTTAAACGTTCGAATACCTCTATTAATTTATGATTATGATCTCTTAAATCTTTTCCATATACGATTATGTCGTCTAAATATACTAAACATTTTATTCCGATTAATCCCGATAATACATTATTCATTAATCTCTGAAATGTGGCTGGTGACGTTTTCATGCCCATTGCCATTCTTTTAAAATGCCAATGACCTTGATTAGTCGAAAATGCTGTTAATTCGCGAGATGATTCGGCAAGTGGTATTTGATAAAATCCCGATGTTAAATCTATGACGCTAAATAATTGACATTCGCCTAATTGATCTAGTATTTCAGTGATATTAGGAAGTGGATGAAATTCATTTAATGTTACTTTATTTAAAGCTCGAAAATCTACAACTATTCTATACTTTTGTTTTCCCGTTGCATCTATCTATTTAGCTACTAATAAAAGTGGTGAATTCCAAGGACTTCGAGAAGGTTCGATAATTCCGTCTGAATTCATTTGTTTAATTTGATTTGCTATTTCTTCTTGGTGCGCGTGTGGTAATCTGTATGGTCGTTTATATATCGGTGTTTGGTTATCATTTAATTTAATTTCATGCATTGCGGCATTCGTACAAGTTAATTTATCTCCCTCTAAATGAAATATTTCAGAATATTGTTCGCAAATTTTATCTATGGATTGTCTTTCCTCATCGTTCATGTGGTCAGATCTTATCTGCTTTTTTATACGAAGTATCCGGTCGTCATTATTACGGTTTTCATTATCGGTATTAAATTTATATATATTATATTCAGATGATTCATCATACTCTATTTTATTTAAATCATTTAATTTAACTATTTGCTTATCTTCGGAAATATTTAATATGCTCACTACAATTTTACCATTTTTTACTGTCCCTATTACATTACTACAATATACATCCTTGATAAATTCTTGTTTATGCAAAATTATATTTTTATTCTCTACACTTTTATCTAATATCGGTAATTCTACAATAGTTTCTGTTCTCGGATTTAATGAAATATATTCTATATTATTATCTTTATTCGCAATCTTACTTTCGTTATTAATAATCATTGTTTTATTACATATGTCAATTATCGCTTTATTCTCAGATAAAAACCTATGACCTAATATACCGTCCTTTGGTATCGGAAATTCTGCTTTTACTACATTAAATTCTACATTAAATTTATCATTATTAATTCCTATTACTACATTTATAGTTCCTATCGTTTCAATTTTTGTTTCATTTATTCCTTTTAAATATAACTTATTATTTTCATTTATTATTAAATCCTTTCTTAATTTATTTATTTTTATAACATTTACATCGCTACCCGTATCTATAAGTAACTCTAAAGTTTTCGTATTACTAAATTCAGAAGTGCATATTATATGATTTTCCGTCATTATTGATATAACATGGAAGCAGTTTCGGTTTGTTCCGCGGTCGATATATGATTTATCGTACGTGTACCGCGTACCGCGCACGACTCGCTCGCGTTTTCCGAATTTACGTTATTATCATCGTTATTAATATTATTCTGTCTATCGTTAAACATTTTTTTATAGCATTCATTTATATTATGTCCGTTGTTATTACAATATTCACATGAAATATACCTCATATTATAACTAGTAGATGGTCGTGTAAAATTATTCTGATTAGGTGGTCGAGTATTATGCGTAAAGTTACGTTTATTTGTGCACTGGTTAGCGAAATGATTTCCGTTGCAAATATAACATTTTATCGGTCTTTGCGGCTGATTTATATTATTATTATTAGTAGTATTAAAATTTGGTCGCGCGAAATTATTATTTGGATTTGTGTTACTTCTAAAATTTTGATTATTAAAATTATTTCTGAAATTTGGTCTTTGTCCATTATTATTATTATTATTAAATTTCCTGAAATTATTCTGATTGTTTGCATTAGATGAATTATTATTATAATTTCGGTTATTAAAATTTCGATTTTTATTTGGATTTTGATTAAATTCATAACTAGACTTATATTCGATTTCTTCCGAACGCGCTAACTGTTTAGCTTCCTCCAACGTATTTGGATTTCTCGCTTTTACAATGGTACGTATCGGACCTATTAACCCTTTTATGTATACTACTAAAGTTTGTTCTTTTATTGTATCGTGAATAATTCTAGCCTCTTTTTCATCTTTATTTGCAGTGCTCATATCACTTAACTTATAAAATAATTTTTCTACGCGATTTGTATAAGTATTTACGTCTTCCCCTTGAAGCATTTTAATAGAATTTAATTCTATTTGTAAAGCTGAAGCGGAATGTTGTGCCTCAAATGTATCGGTTAAATATTTTTTTATGTTTTTCCATTTAGTTGTATCTTTATATTTAATTGCTTCTAGAGCCCTACCACTTAATCTAGTTGTTATGTATTTTATTAAAATCGGTACATTTTTCTTTTCTACGGACTCTATAGCTAAATCACATGCCTGAATAAACTGATAAACATCATCTTCCCCCGTACTTTTTGGTATTAATTTAACTGCCTCTTCCAATTTTAATGTTACTATATCGCTATTCATTTTTCTTCTAGATTTTACTTCAAATTTTAATTCCTCAAATTCGGTATTACGACTACTTCGAGTTCTACGATGCTCGCTCTGTGTTCCTACGTTTAATAATTTTTTAGTGTGTTCATCAATATTTTCCTCTTTTACAAAACTTTTGTCAAGATCTTCCACACTACCTTCACTTTCACTTTTTTCCCTATACACCGAATTAGCTACTTTCGATGGAGACGAGTCCGGACTGCTATGCTTACTCATAAAAATTCTTTACCCATTAACTTTTAATTCTCAATAATTCAATAATATTTTCAATAATTCAATAATAATAATCTCAATAATTCAACAATAATAATCTCGATAAATTCTTTCAATAATAAATCTTCAATAATAATCTCAATAATAATCTCTTTAAATAATTTTTATATTATTCCTTTTTATAATAACTCCAACAAAATAATATTTTTCCCTACCGTATTGAGCCTCTGGCCAGATAAACTCAATAAATTTCACAATAATAATTCTCAATATAACTTCAATATAAACTCAATATAAACTCAATATAATTTCAATATAACTTCAATATAATCACAATATAATTTCAATATAATCTCAATATAATCTCGGGATCCCCTTTAATAATTCAATAATTCAATAATAACTCAATAATAATTCAATAATAATTCTCAATAATAATTCTCAATAATAATGTGGGTATTTAGCTAGAATTTTTAGGTGTCTGGTTTTTTTATGAACATAGAATGTTTTCGTTTCTTTTATAAAATTGTATCTTAAAATAATATGGTTATTACAAAATATATGCTTACAAACAATTGTTGATTGAAGACATGTTGTTGACTGAATGATCCGGTGGAGTATCAGCTATTCAATGGAAGTTGAGAAGTTGAAGGACTGCAAGTTGTTCAGCTCCTCGGTGGTTCCGATGTGGAATTGCCTTCTATTGAATATCCTACCGACTGCGCCAATTTTTGTTACGTGCCAACCGTTTGATCCGTTAACTCAGTTACAACGTCCAGTCAACGCTTGTGTGGAAGTGTAGTCAGGAATAATTAAGACTTCTTTTTGAAATAATTAAATTTATTTAACTTATAAAAATTATTCTAACTACAAATTTTGTAAATATTCTAGTGATAGAAATTATTTAAGTCCTAACAATTGTACTTATAAAATAATTGGAAATATTTCTAAGTCCAGACCATAACATACACTGACGTGAAGGTGCTCAGTGCAGCATAGACAAGACTCGTCTGATTTGCCCTTGTTTTCGGGTCCCTTTTATATGTGATATTGTATGTGTGTGTGTAAAATCCCAAATGTGTGTGTGTAAATGAATAAGATAATAAAATAAGATACTTTCCTATAAATTGTGAGTGTGTGTGCGTTATCTCCAGACCGTGACATAATTATTGACGCAAATGCCCAGGATGTGGTCACCACATCATTCCGATAAACTATTTTATTTCAATTTCCCAGAAAAACGTTTATGTGAACCCTTTCACTTGTCCACGTTTGTGATTTCGATATTTTAATTCCTTATTGTAATCTCTAGTGTAATAACCACGTGAACACAATAATCTAACTTATCCATAGTTGTGGTTTTTGATGTACATGGGAACCTCCTTGTGATGTTGTGATGTGTTTTACCGTGTGACTACGCGGGACGCGACACAATGGTGTTGTGAATTTATCAGGTAAAAAGAGATCGGGGCGCAATGGTGTTGTGAATTTATCAGGTAAAAAGAGATCGGGGCGCAATCGTGTTGCACCGTTCCATATTAACCGGTGTCCACATCAAGTAGAACTCAATGTATATATAAATTATTAGTTTTTTCAATTATTCCGTAAGGATATTGTAGATTTGCTTGTAGTTTAATCGAGTTCCAGAAGATTTATTTTTACTCAAAAAATAAAAATATTTTCCATATTAACTGAGAAAACAACTCGTGACTGTTAGTGTTGCTTTAAGTTCCTGGACGTATGTCTCAAATTTTTGTTTATTTTTTTATTATTTCCTTTAGGTTAGTGGTTAGTGTTGAAAAAATGATTATTAGAAAGCTAGCTAATCTTTTTCCGGGACATTTAATAATCAAACAATCATTTCCAGCTTCATGCTCACATGTAACAGAAACTATTATTTATTGTTAAGTTTATAGTTTTTATTAATAATTATTAAAATTTTGAGAGGAATTAAATATTTTAGTAAGTATTCATACCAAAAAAAGTATCACAAAATGCTCTTGAAATTTATAATATTAAAACAGCCGAATATGGTATTAAAATAATTCTAAACGAAGATACTTTCCATCAACGAATATACATGGAAATCAGTGTATTTGAAAGATAATAGCATCTCATACGATAAATTTATACGGATTTTTTTTTTTTCGATGACTGTTTAGATACTATTCATAGTTTTGTTGTAGTTCTTTCGGTCAATCTTTCTCACTGCTAAATGCCAACCGGGACGGTACAACTGAAAATTTGTTGTTCGTCCGTCACTCGTATTGTTAAATCTTGAAATTCGATATAGGTACACGCTACCGTAATAAATGTACCGAGGTCGTTTACCGATGCACGTTGTGTGTTGCCAGTGAATTTTCTATTTTCTTCTTCTCGTAACACGAAACCGAAAACGCATTTATCGTAGTGGAAACCCCGCGCACACGATATCGTACCTAACGCTGTACGTTCGATCGAATCGAAACTCCGCTCCGCCGACAACGATATCACACAATAGCCGCGCCGTATCCGAGCGTCGAAATCACATCGCGAACGCGGATCGACCCCGGTGCGCAGGGTCGTCGTTAACAATCTCGTGAAATCGTCTCGTTTTTTCGTTCGCGTATTTATAATGTTACGATACCGTAGCCCGCAGCACGAACCATCGTCCAGTGACGATGACGCAAACTGTACACGTACACCCGTCGAACGTAGTGACATATTTTAGGGGGGAAGGGGGTGATTGCTCCCCCCTATGAATCGGTATTTAAGTAATCGATTATATGTGAGATAAACATTTTACATTTTTTTAATGTGGATCATTTTATAATGAAATCATATTATACGTGGCTGTGAATACTGAATTGGGCTTTTTGTCGGGTTCAAACTTAATGAAAAATTAAACACAATTGTAACTTTATAAATACAGACAGGTGTTAAAAAAGAATTACGCAAAAGTTGATTCTAAGTGGATCCGGTATTAGATTAAAAAAAAAAAAACCACAAATATTAAAGATTCACTGACTTAAATACTATTAAAAATTTTACTTGTAAATTTTGAGTTCGAATTAAAGAAAACATTTGAATCGCCCCTCCTCCCATTAGAAGTAAGTATAAATACGCTCCTGGTCGTACGTATATGTGTATGAAAATAGCATGTTGTTAACGCGTTCAGATAAGCGTGTGGACGGGACGAGTTTTATCACACGTTTTTTTTTGTATTTTTCGTTATACTAGCTTAGGATAATATTGCAGTCACATTGCAAGTAAAAAGTAATAATAGGAATGAAAAAGAAACGGGAAGAACGTAAAAAATGTATCCACACACACAAAAGATAGCGTGCATAGGACCGGACGATCATTTCGGCGTGGCATAATAAACGCGCGCGTGAACTTTGAGAGTGAAAATCCAATTGTCCCTGCCACCACCGTGCACACCACTGGTATTATGGGAGCAGAGCACCACGAGCATCGCACCACCTCCGACCTGCACATCTACTCCGGCAGTGGCGGTGGTGGTGAACGCGAGAGCGCACACCACAGGCCGCACCGCCATCGTTTCCAACCTCCCTTGCCCATCCACTAACCGCCTCTTTTCTTCCGTCCCCGTAACCGCCCCCCGAGGCACTGCACGCGTAGCCACACGCGTCCAGTCTATATCGAACCATACGCGGAAAATCCGAACAACGCATAGCGGCGAGGGCGGAACTGGAACGCCACTCCGCCGCCGTCGTTGGAGCGCCTCTTCGTGACCCCGAAACGTTTTGCCCGGGCACCGGCGGCGAAGACGGCTACTACAATACGACGCGCGGTACCGCGTAGCGTAGACCCACCCTCTCACCCGCCTACCACCCCGAGAACGGTTCACCTGGATACGCAACACCGTATCGCATCGCAGAAATATTACACGCACAAACCTACGCGTATAGAGGTGCGCTACCATTACGTTGCATGGACAATTGACGGTTGCCCGTATACACCACACACGTCTGTCGGTCGACAGAAATGCGGTTCGTCGACCGCGCAGACCCTTGCGCGCGTGGAAAACGAACTTGTACCGTTTTCGTAGTGAACGATTAAAAGAGTTCGATATGAACAAAAAAAAACCGAAACAAACACGCGGGCGTGCAGTAAACGCGGCTGCCGGTCGGCGTTAGTGCCGTACAGCCGACGACGCACCACCACCGCGCCGGTCCGGTATTAGAGGTCAGTATTGATCCCGGCGGCGCGCGGCCCGTGTGACTGCACGTACGAAAAGCGACCCGCGCGCGCCGCACCGTTGTCGGTTTTCTCGTACGGAGCGCGTGCGCCGCGGCTTCGACGTGCGCGTGTGAGTGCCGTCGGGCCTGCGCGCGTGCATTTATGTGCGGTGACAGGACGACGGCCGGGGGTGATGACACGGGTGGGTGGTCGGCGACGGCGGACGGGGGTGGCCGGAGGCTTACGCCGTACATGCAAGTTCCGGGGACAAGCGGCCGATCCGCGGCAGTCGCTCGTTATCCACCGACGGTGTTCGTGCGCCAGCGTGAAGTGTGCGCAGTGTGTGTGTGTGTGTGCGTGTGAGCGTGAGCAGTGAGCAGTGAGCAGTGAGCAGTGAGCAGTGTCTGTCCGCTCGCTCACCGCCTCCACCGCCGCCGCCAGAGCCGAAGACGACGACCACGACCACGGCGGTTATACGGCGACGACATTGCATCGTCGACGAACGAAATAATAAGGACTTTTTGCAACACACATCATCACTACTAGTACTACTACTACCACTACTACTATTATTTTTTTCTTATTGTTACACGCGGAATAACGCACATACGACTCGTAAACACACACAAAATACATTATTATCAATACATTTCGTAGAACAATATCGAAGTAACGGCTTTACTTTCAAAAAATTCGTCAGACTACTCGCGCAAGTTCTGCACTCGTCGGATTTGTACGTATGTTGATATCGTTGATAATCGCGCACCGGTAACGATCGTCCGACACCGGAGCGACAACAACCGTCACCGCCGACGATTCGTCCGTTTTTTCTCTATTTTCTGTGTTCAATACCGCCGCGGGCCGCAACGATCGTTCGCCATCGCAGTAACGCTTGCCACGCACGGCCCGCGTCCCGTCGCGCGGCCGGCCACCGCTTCCCGCGTCCCTTACCGTCCACGTGATCCGGCCACAGCAGCAGCAGCAGCAGTAGCAGCAGCAGCAGCAGCAGCAGCAGCAGCGGAACCATCGACCGGCCATGGCCGCGGTTAGGTAACACCGCGCCCGCGGGCCGAATACCACGACGTGGTGCACGCGGCGACAGGACGTCGGCGACCAGCGCCGCCGCCGCCGGCCACCACCGCGGTGGTCTTTGATGTTTTCGGATCGGACGGCCCCGGCCAGGTACAATGCTTCCGGAAAGGCAATGCTGCGCGCAGCTGTGCCCGGTGCAGGCGACCACGATGCCGCCGAAGACCGAGTGTCTGCAGGACCGCAAATGGTGGTGCTTCCTGCTGTCCAGCGTGTTCACGTTTCTCGCCGGGCTGCTGATCGTGCTCCTATGGCGGTTCTTCGCGTTCCTATTCACGCGAAAACAACCCGCCGAGCTCGCGGCGCCCGGTTGCCCGAACACTGAGCCCAAGAAGGAGACGAAGCGCCAAGGCAAACAGGAATTCGAGGGAACGTTCATGACAGAGGCCAAAGACTGGGCGGGCGAACTGATATCCGGACAAACCACTACCGGGCGGATATTGGTAAGAGCAGTTTTTTTACTTTCATCGTCTACTTCCCTACGACTATAACATGTACCCCCATGTAACATTTCTCACGGCGAATACCCTATTTTAATAAATTTGGACTACGTTATTTTTATTTTTATTTTCGGGACCTTTTAAAACTTATTCGACTGCTAACTCGTTTCACGGTCAATGTATCGTCAAGAAAACGATAAACCGATCCTGGGTATAATGGTTCACGTATTGGGGACGCGGGTAATGCTTTTTGTTATGATTCCTTTCGAGTCCGCGACTATGTTTGGATATGGTTGATGTGTTATAACCGTGATTATGGATGGTCACGCGATATACGCAACGAGTGTGGATATCGTCTGCGGGTAATAATTTTGTTACGTATTATTCGCACTACAGTCGGCGGAGTAAAAGTGTTGTTTGAGAATCGTATTCAACGGAGGAAACCACGTGCCGAGAAAACTTTTAAACGTGCATCGCGTGCAGAAAGTTAAATATACGTGTCCCGGTCGTCACTGTCTTCGTATTATTAGCATATTACAATCATGCGATCATCAATCATGCGTATGATATCAACCATATTGTTACGATTACGCAGTTTTTCCCCAAAGTATATTTACCGGTGACGACAATATTGCATAAACAACGTATAATAATTATAATATTATATTGTCTTATCGCATAATTACAGTTTGAAATTGCAGTGGATAATATAGTTGTGATTGCGGTGTTTACTTCAATCTTAAAATTATAAATATGATCTTAATAATTTTCTGTCGACACCGATAGATGAGAATAACTTGTACGCGCAATGTAATGGTTTTTTTTTTCATATTTATAAACGTTTACGGTGTGTTCCCTCCGATTTTGCTCCCGCTAACCAAACATACAAACGTTGTTTTAGGATAAATTACATTTGTTTAACGTTTTACATAATCGTCTTCACTACCGCCGTTCGACAAAACGATGACAAAACGTGGTGTCCAATTACACGTAATAATAACGATAAAACAGCATTTCGTTTGTAACAGTATTGTAATAATATTTATTATAATATTATACACACATTTTAAGGTATATATGTATTGTGCCATGGTTCTAACGTCAACACGGTAAAGTAAAACGGTCGCGTTCCATAGGGGGTGATAATATTTTATTAGGAAAACATGGTAACCGCGGTCTGTACAACACACTGTACTGCGTGATAAAGTAAGTAAGGTCACACGATAACCACGTCGTCCGTCAAAGAAGCAATGCGTAAAATATTAAAATACGATTAATATTATATTACCTTTGGGTCAGTACCCCGCAACAATACTAATTTGGGATCGTTCGTAAATAAAATTAATAACTCCTCCCACGTTGGATGACGCTGCAAGGAAACCATACCTTTAATCAATTGTAACCAAATTATTTTTAATTTCGGTTATAAACGCCGTAAAAGAAATGTTGAGATACGATAATGTGTACAAAACAAAATCCATAAACTATTGGTCAATCTCCATCAATAATTATAATAATAAAACTATATTATTTTCTTTATTTTCACATACATTTCAATTTGTATAATTGAGCTCGTGTGTTCAACACAAACAACACACCCATCGCCTTGTGTACAAAGGAAACATAATACGTAATACGTTTAGTGTTTATTATGTTTTATAATTTTTTTAACGTGACAACACTACTCTTCTATAGTAAAACGTTGCGTGTAAATATCCGAAATAACGTTTTCACTGATTCCATATTATTTTATCGAGATTTGTTCGGTTTTTCTTTTTTTCTAAATTTGTAGTTACATAAAAGTTTTGATATCGAGAATAAACGCAAAAGTTACGTTATAATTGTACTTGAACAAATACAACAGCTGCTAAAGATTAAATATAGTGTTTATGTTTTTAAAATACCGAAACTTTTAATTGTATTTTACATTAGAGTACCTTTACACAATAAGCACTGATATACCAACTTCTTGAACTATTAGGTTTTGTATACATATCCTGTAGGGTGTGTCAAAACCCCATTAGATTTTGTGATTTAAATAGAAATTAAAGTTTTCATATAACATATAAATACAGAAAGGAGTTTGCAATGATATTATCTCTTTATTAAATTCGATCAAATTAAATATTTTAAGAAACATAAAATTTTTATTTTTTTATTAATTAGTAATTGACTAATTGTAAAGTTTTTAGAAATAAACTGAATGAATATGTACAAGAACCAATCAGTGGATATGACTGTGTAGGTAATCCAATATTATATCTTCCAGTAATACTTATTTCACCATATTGTGTGTTCTAAACTTTATGAAGTACTTTTGAACGTAGTTGTATTAATGTTTTTCTTAACAATTACTGTACAATAAAGTTTATTACAGAGAATTTTTCTTATTCGCAAAAGAGTTCAATAAAAAGAATACGTATATTCGACACAAAAAAAAAAAAAAAATTCGATTTTAATATGTAATTTCTGAACAGAGCTAACACGGCTATCGATTAACTTTTTTTTTTTTTAATTAAACACGTTCAAAGTAAATAGTTTCACACTGAAACATATCGGTTATTTAACAAATAACGAAAATGATATTTTATTTAAACAAAATCGTTCAATGAATGAATTGATTGATTGAACTACTATTACCACGAATATATTTAAATATTCATCGCTTCTAAAGATTGTACATCTATCATTATTTAATTCTAACCGAAGCTGTTACTTCTTAGCGAATTCGTGTGTAATCATTGTGACTACTATATGAAAGACATATGTTTCGCGTTCTTACCCAAACTAAATTTTAGTCGAGTACCCACGTACTTTATGTCTAGAAATAAATCAAGATCTATTATTACACGGCACTCTATTATCGTGTAACAACAGACGCATTTGCACAATAGTCGTGGCTATTCAGTGAGATGATTTACTACGGAATATGGCTGTATTATTAATTTTGATTTCAATCTATATACGAACATAGTTTGTAATTAATATAATATAATAATAATATTTTCGTCTATAGATTACGAACCTTTCGGCAGTTATTTAATACTGTAATCGATTGTCATGGAACACAAAAACTAATAAGGACATTTTCCACGTTTATGCGAGTTACCAGTACAAATAAAAACGTTAAAAGCTTACGAAATAAAATGATAATTTTTTTTTAAGAAAATTATCTCATGGTTGGTGCTGGATTAAAGCAATAATTATAAAATTCTCGGCTCATATCCAAAATTCAAGGTGCTTAGACATTTTTCATACTGGTACTGTGGTTTTATTTTTAGATTTGTCTCTTTTAATTTTGGCTGTGTATATATATATATATATAATGTTGTACCTACGTTATAAGATATTATTGAATTTCATTTAATGTTAATAGTTTTTAGTGCAGTTATATAACATGCATAATATTATATTTATAAGTATTGGGTTAATAATTATTTTATTATTTCATCATAGATACATAAACTTAAGTGGATATAAATTATAAAATGATGAATACGCAAAAAAAAAATCTTGTGTTTAGCAGTAAAAGAAAAATAATAAATGTTATAAGATCGTTGAGCCTAATAGAATTTTAATTGATAGTGAAAATAACTAACTTATCATAACTTCATAATATCATAGGACTGTATTGTAGCAATGAAAAGATAAAATACTTGCAGCTTTCTAATTTTTATACATATATTTTCGAAAAATGATTAATCTTCATTAATAAATTACTTTTAATGATATTTTAAGAATATTGTTTAAAAATTACTAATTACTGAGCACAAGAAAAAATGAGATTAATATTATAACCAATATTTTATACAACAAAATCGTTATAAGAATTTTGATTTGAATAACTCCAAATTAATTTAAATTAAGACAGGTCTACGATTAAAAACAAAATTAAAAAATTATAATTTTTGAAAAAGAAATCTCGTTAATGCGCTTTTATAATTTTTCATATTTTATTCAACTTGATTTGAAACGTTTCGATAGTTTTTAATGCTTATGATAATTACCTAACAATAATGTGAGCTTACCTATTATTTCATAATTTAGCATAGTACTCGATAATATTATCTACTAGTAATTATGTCTCTCGAATCGGCTAATATGTGATAGGAGCTTTTATTAGATTCGACACCGTTTCACAGCAATAAAATATTGATACCGAATATCCACTAACACTTGATTAATTTTCACGGGGATTATGAACAAATTGTTTTATGAATGATTGATTGATTTAATTATTTATTTTTATTGTCTGTATACCAAAATAAAGACATACAACTGTAACTTGGCAACTGTAAATTATTTATCGTGCGTAGATGGATACAAATGTATTTGTTATTATTTTACCATCATGCAATTAATAATGGCCATGAATTCAAAATCATATACATAAACCATGATATCACATTAAATATTAGCATGAAAAAAAAACTATTGTTACATAGACATAGATATATTAATTCAAATAAAATTATACTTAATTGGATGGAAAAACATGAAGTATACCTATGTACAAAACGTGTGCCATTACTAGGTCGAATTTGTTTTAAAAACTGTTTTGAGAAATCGCGTAATTGAGTTTCAAATTAAATATTTATTTTTATCGTTATTTTTTTTTTTTATATAGATATAGGTGCAGATGAACAAACTAATTTCAACTACGATTAACTATCTTTACTAAAATATACTTTATTTATACATTATAATCAGGTATATCAGAGTATAACGATAAATTTTTAAATTTGAATGTTTTTTGTACAATACTTCAACTTCAACTCCAAATGATTGTGTTTACTTGGACAGCTCGTATTTTATAACATTTTATGGGTAAAATATAATGTACTGCGTTTCCGTCAAATTCGAGTCCTGGAGTTCTTTTTGTTTTGTGGGAGTAACAAAAATCCATCGATGAAAAAACACAGAAAGAATTTTCATCACATACTCGAGAAAAACGTGAAGCAATTTGGTGGTTACTGTAGGTTTCTGGATGAATGAGACCATAA